ATAAATACCCCTCCTAGTTCTAAGGAACATTGGCTTTCACAAAACATTCTTTATTTTAAGGACTTCTATTAATTTGGACACCTCACAGCAGTGAAGAAATTATGACTTCTGATTGCTGATGTTTTCCCCCAGAGAGGTGTCTGCCATTTACAAAGATTTGGCAAGGCAGGTAAAGCCATCATTTCATCTCTGCTGGGAAGAATAAAAAAGCATGGTTTGGTTCAAGGATCCATCCTGTTGTGTGTCTTGGGTTATATCAGTAAATAAAATATGCAGCCAGGGTTAAAACTGTTTTCCTTGAGTGAGAATCCTTACTTCTTAATGCTTCTTGAGCAACATAAGATTAAAAATAGCACAGCCACCTGACAGGGAACTCAGGCGTGTTCTCAGAGGGCAAAGGGAAAAATCAGCCCCAAATACTTACTGACATCAAAGGCAGCTTTCAAGGCCTGGATGTCGGTTGCCACTCCCGAGACGCGGTAGATGCCCACCTCCTCCATCCCGCGCCGCTCGATCTCCTCCACGCACTGCCGCACGATGTACGGCACCTTCGACCTCTCTCTCCTAAGGGAGCCAGACAGAAAGCTCCGTTCAGCCCAGGCCCTCCGTGCCTGTTCCCCAGCAAGGCTGCAAGCACCCCGACATTTCCCTGGGGAAACCTCTTCTGGAAAATGGGGTGGTAGGAAGTCTGAGCAGGCAGTCAGGACTGAGCTGAAAAACTCCTTTTAAAACTGCAGAGGGTTTTCTGACTGTATCAGCTTTGCTCTGGCTCTTCTGCAGCCTTCCTGAGCTCTTGGCCAGGTCCCAGTGCCCCCAGAGCCTGTGACTCTGCCCAGGTAATCAGAGGATTCCCAAACAACCCTTGGATCCATAGCAACTCTGTTGCTTTCAAACTGATGCAATTCCATGGGGAGGAAATACCACACTTCCCAAACCATACAGCAGAACAAACAGGTTTCTGCTGGCAAATGATTCATGACAAAAGATCAGGGGTTAAAATAATACAATGGGATCCAAAGACCTTGAACATTTTTGATTATGGAAAGGAAACATCACTGTTCAGTGGCTCTGGAAATTTGTGACCATGTCAGCTAACTACGGAGAAGGCAAGTGCAAGGGGGATTTCCGGAATTCAGAGGAGTGACGGGCTGTCAGTAAACAGCCTGTGTGCACACTGCTTCTTATCTCTGCAAAAAGTGAAGCTCAGAGATTGTAAAGCATCTCCTGTCTGCAGCCACATCTACACTAGTGGAGCAGCTGGACTGCCAAACCCCTCAAGGGGACACAGGCAAGTGCACCCCACTGGCCAGTTGTCTTCTGAAACACAGGGGGAGAAAGGTGACCCATGAGCTCACTTGGTGACAATAGCAATCTTGACCCCGAACACGCCTGTCTGCTTGCGGGACGGCATCCTTTTCAGGCTGAACTCCCGACTGGTGAACTTCACTGACAGCTTCACCTCCACCTGAACCAAACAGAACAGCTGTTACTTTTTAAACATTTTCTTTTCTTCATGCTGCAATGAAGAGCAAAGAAATAAAGCCCACAGGAGGTACAGAAGCAAAGCTAATTTCTGTTTGCCACACTTACCCCATTCATTGAGATGACTGTGCGCTGCCAATCTTTGTCCTGCAGTGCCTGTGGGTCCAGCTGGAAAACAGAAGTTACCCATGAGCTAGGAACAGACTTCAGAGAAGGCAGCTAGCCTGGAAGGCTTCTGCAAGTGAGCAGAGCATAATCACTTTTACCTTGTTATTTCCTTTCCATAGGAAAACCCACACTCCAAAGTTTCCCTGGTTTCAGGGAAACCAGATTTTGGATATTGTGCAGTTCTCTAAACATGGCTGATGAGGGTTCATACACATGGAAAACCCAGCAACATGACAGCAGTATCTGCTCAACAATAAAGGCAACCTCAGGGAGCACAACCAATATTTGAATCTGTTGAGAAGTCATGGAAAGTTGTCCTTCAAACAGCCTATTCATTTTCATTTCTATTTGAGCATAGAGGCAGGAAGAACACCAGGCCCTGCTATTGCAGGCACTCATTAAACAGAAACAAGTTCCAATCTCTCATTTTCAGCTTTGCTTGGTCTCTCGAGTGGACAGCTGTGAGGCTGGGGAGCAGCTGACTCAAGTGTTAGAATGTCACCCAGCAATTCCACTACTGCCTTGGGAGAGCCCAAACACATCCAAAGGGCTGAGGAGTGGCACTCAGCTCCAGGGAGATTGGCAAGAGAGACGAGGAGCTGTCTTCTTGGGGGCTTGATCAGCCATTGGAACCAGCCAAGGCAAGAATTCAGTGCCTCCTGAGACAGCTTTGTAACACTTGGCTCTTGAACACGGAGGCACATAAGACCAGGAGGAGTCAACTGCAGCAAACTGTTTTGAGTTTACTGCTGTCAGCAAATAACCAGAGCTGGTTTGCAGCACAGCTCCCCCCTCTCACAGAGCCCCGTGCAGGGCCAGAGAGCGCTGGCAGGGGAGGGAAATGCTGGAACAATGGCAGCTGCAGGAAATTCTGGGAGAGCTTAGACACGGTCATGGTCGCACTCAGATCCTCAACAGAGCAGCCCAGTGCTGCTGACAGCTCCAGAGACAAGCCCCCACCTTAACCTTCCCCACTCCCCAGAGAAAGGTAAGCAGCAGAGAGCAAAGTTCCTCCCTTCTTCCTCCCAGTGCAGAGACCCCAAGCAGCAAGAGAACAAGCGAGGCCGACCTTGTCCCTGCGCGCTCTGTCGCGGACGTGGGCCCACAGCGGGATGCTGCCAGCACACACGTGCTTCCCTGTGGAATTGGACCGGCTCCTGTAGGTGCAACGCTGGCAGAAACTCCTGAAGAGCCCTTGCAAGGAATTGTCAGTAACCAGCAGCTCCCACATTTTGGGACTGTGCAAAGGACCTGGGGGCTGATGGGCAGCAGTGCTTGGCTTCGGTGCCTCAGCGACCCCAAACACAGGACTGCTCGCCGAGGGGGTTCGCTTTTAACTCCGGCAGAACAGATCCGCCCCGCCTGTGGGGCTGGCCAAGGGCCCTACAGCTGGCCAGCTTCTAGGCTGTTCTACCCTGAACTTCCGTGCTGGAAGCTTGATTTCTTTCAACAACTGAATTCTTTCCCAGAATCAAGAGGAAACCATTTCTGAAGTGTCTGGTTTCCTATGAGCAGCAACCATGCTAAGTATTCCTGAAAGCTTGATCTCCAGCTTTGAGGAGTCATCTGGTTAAGCTGCCAAAACGGCCCTGCTGATGGACACAGTCACAGCCAATCCTCTTGCTGGGAACCAGTTTTCCATGTGTTTTTAGAATGGAGTCACTGAGTGTATTATTTATAGCAGGGAGTTATATTATTTATAGTTTAAGACTAAAGGGGAAAGAGGGTTTGAATATTTGCCAAAAACTTTAAAGGGAGAGTCCAGCAGAATCCAGTTACAGTTTATTTAAGCTAACTGGTATTACTGGGTATGTCTCAGTAATGACCAGGGAATTCCTGCCACGGCACAGAACAAAATCAAGTAAATAGCTGTTTAAAAATAAAACCATCCTGCTCTCTCTCAAGAGCAACTTTGACTCTGCTGCAAAAAATGAACAGAAGCAGAGTGCTGGAGCTGAGAACTCGCAAAGACTTTTCCTTGCTAGAGCTGAGAGCTCACAGAGACTTTTCCTCGCTGGATAACTGCTGGGGCTGAGCCAGGACTACCAGTAAACCTCCATGAACCTGCTGCTGCCTCTTGCTCCCTTGTTTCTCAGCTCTCCTGCAGAGCTGGCAGGACCCCTGCACTCCCTCCTACTGTTTGACTCCTGCTGGAAAATGCCTTGTACTGAATGGGGACAGCCAGGGAGAACAGGCACCACGGCTGGCTGACCCAGCCAACCCTGCAGAAATCACTGGCAATAACAACAGTAATTAAGGGGAAAAAAACCAAACTCCTCCAAGGTGCTTTTTAAATAACAAAGCAAAATGATGGAAGCTATTAAAAGAGCAAAGCTTGAATAAACTCTCAGCAACACTGAGTGAGACAGGAAGATCAGGTCTAACAGTCTGATAAGTCACAGCAGGATGTAACAGAGTCAACAGGAAACCAAGAACTGTCACTGGGACTTCAATCAAGCTTCAGTCGTGGTCCCAAGTGATGACTGACCTTCTGAGGCCAGCAAGAGCAACAGAGGGAAAGGACAACTGGAGCAGGCAGGGAGAGAGCACACTGAGGACGATGAGCTAGCAAGAGTGATGCTCCAGCACAGAGGACAAATGGGGCCATGCTGTCTTCTGGCCTGATTTGGAGATCAGTGACCTGAAAGAAGGAACACTGAGTAGAAGAATGCAATCCATGGCCAGCATGGCAAAGGGAAGCAGCTCTGAGCAAGCTGTGCCAGCTCAAGCAGGGGAGGCACTGTGCAGCTGCTGCCTCTGCATTTGACAGTGGAATTTACTGCTCCTCTACACAGTTCCTCCAAACAGTTGCTTGGTTTGAGTGACCTGCCCCATCTCCATTGAAGCAGAGCCACTGTGTTGTTTCCATGCTCTGTGCAAATAGGACAGACCTGCTAAAACCCTCACAGACTGCATTTCATGGGCTTTGCACAGCCCCCACCAAAAGCTCATGCTGAACAGGAAAATACAAACCAAGCACTCTGTCTGTTTGCTGCTCCCTCCAGTCCCCTTGTGGCCTTTGGTATTTGCAGTGGCAAGCTCCAGCCCCAAAGTCACTAATGAATCAAGCCAATACCTCTCTGTATCCTGCCCAAAACACGAGAGAACAAAGCAGCTCAGCACCACGGGGGTTTCTGCAGGTCTCTGGCCCTTGTAGCAGCTCAGCACTGAATTCAGACAGGGCACAGCAGTCAGGAAAGGCTGAGAGTGCACAGCAGCATGGTGAGAACTGGAAAAAGGCAAACTGGGGATGCTCCTCTGGCAAATGCAAGCCAGGCACTAGGAAGGCTGCCTGTGCTCTGCCCTAGGAACCACCACAGAGAGCTTGATCATGATTTCTTTTTCCCCAGAGAAAAAAGAAAACATGCAGAAGGAGGGAAAAACAAAGAAGCCTCAGTGGAAATGAAAGAGCATGGACTGTGGAACATTAAGGTTAGTGTGTTTTATGTATTCATTCACATTACTTCTTCCCTTTATTAAATTTCCCAGGCAACTTTACACTCCATCAATTTTGAACTGTAACTAATGTGACATACATGTTGTCAGAGCCTCACTGCTGCTGGGAACTCCCAGTCCTGCCATAACCCCATTCTTCTCACAGCTCCCCACTGACAGGTTAATCTTTCCCACCATTGCCCTTTAGGCATGACCCATTGCCTTCTTCATTTCCCCCCTATTTTCACTGCTGGGACAATGTTCTGCTTCAGCAAACTGTTTAAACAAGCTTGAGTGAGTAAGAGGTTTCCAAGTTAACACTTGGGAGGTGCAGCATGGGACAATTGGTTTATAAGGGAAACAGCCTAATGCCTGAAATAGCCATGGGCACTGCTATGAGACATCCCAGATAATTAAGAGTGATCTGCAAGGCAACAGAGGAATGGTGCTGCTCCACAGAATGAGTGATCTAAGGTCACATCCTCCCTGATTTTCCAGCACTGCTGTGAGGGAGAAGGAAATATTTAGCTTGAGCTGATCATGCAGAAAAAGAAAACAGCAAAGGAAATGACATTTCTAGGAGGCACCAGTGGGAGGAGCTGGATCACAGGGTGAAGTATCACTTCACTCACTCACAGACAGGCTGGTCCTGCTGACACGTGCCCAATGGTACAGTCTCAATGCCAAAAAAAGGCTGCTGCACTCCAAACATGGGGACGTGTGTGCCACATGAAGTGAGAATTCAAGGAGCCAAAGGGCCAGCCAAGTGCCAAAGATGGACTGCAAGGTACCAACAGAAAGAAAAGCCCAGGGTGCTCACAATGAGAGGGGCTTATGCCCACAGCTGAACTAAGTCTCACATTTCCTCCCATCATGTGAAGTCCACTCCATCCTCCTCCAGCTCCCCCAGTCATTTCAGTTTCACAGTGTAGTCAGGAATAGTATTTCTCATGCCTGAGGTGCAGAGAAGCCCCCAGCCACGTGTGCCAGTCAGTTCAACACTGCACACCCAGCATGCTGTGCCCAGGTCTGCTGAGGACTTCACTCCCACATTTACAGGAAGTTCTCCTACACTAAAACCTCATGGGTTCACATTTCAGAGATAAAAAACTTGCAGGAAAGAAGCAGGTCTTGCATCTGGCTGGAAAGACAGACAAATAAAATATTCCATAGGAAAAGAAAATATGAGCAATGGGAGCTATTAAAATTGCTGCCCATTCCTGGAAACTTGTGACATGGACCAATTTCCAGCCTTCCTTCCTTCACTGCCGTAATGTAACGGAGAGATTTAATAAACATTTTTACAGCCAAAACAGTCCTAGTCTCCTTGATTGTCTCCATCACTGAGGCTCAGTATTTGGTGAGTCAGAATTCCCAGTATGGGAAGTTGCATATTTACAATAAGACGTGGCTTAACAATACACTGCACTTTGGCCAACAGAGAAACTTCTCTGCTTTTATCAACAGGAGGATGCAGGCACGACTCTTCATGTTCCCAGAGTTTTTAACTAAAAGGAATTTATGAAACAAAAATCCTCACCCAACCTCACAGACCTTGCCTTTAGACAGACTTGGGCTGAATAATAACAGTGCATCAACAAATCAGAAACCCAGGATAAACTACAAACTCTAAGGTAAACAGAATTTTATATAAAAGCACCTGGGAGAACAGCCAACCTTCAGGCTGCAATCAGATTTTGTTGTTGCATTATTATGGTTTCTTAACAGAGAAATGGTGTTTACTTCAAAAATAGAACTAAACCAAAATCAAAACCTTTAATAATTTTTATCAATCCACAATCTTACCAGACTGTCATATGACTTCTCTCTGATTCAACAGGGTTTGAAATCCACAATAGGACAGAAATCACTGAAAATTAAGGGGTTATTCTGGCAATTCATCAGGTTTCTTTATAAATTGCAAAGGGGATTTACAGAAAGCAAAAGAGCTTTTGCATGTGCCTTTTATGATACAACAGAATGAAACATTTGCACATTGATTAAAAACATTTTAATTGATTTTTTAACGTTCCCACTGTCTAGGTTTCTCTAAAAGAATCAAGATGCAATTAATATTTAATTGCCATCAAAGAGAATTTTAATTTCCTTAAGTATAAAATATATTTACAAAAATATACTACTGCTGTGCATAAAAATGCCCACAGCTGTGAGAAGGAAAAAAATTGCCAAAAATTTAAAAGACTAAAATATTTTTAAAGATTTGGTTTTTAAAAATCTGTCTATGTAACATATTTGTAGAATTTAGCAGGTCAGTGATTTCAGGGTTCTCTGTTATGAGCACACAAATCTCCAGGGCATTTCAGGGCTGAAGACTTGCTCTTTTGTAGTTGCTCAGCTCTGTGGAAACAGCCTTTGTTAGCTGAAGGGACACAGGGATTTCTGGTCAGCAGAGACACACACACAGGAGCCAGCCTGTGCTGGCATTTATTGATCTGCACACAAAAAAAATTCCCTTCCAAATCCCACCATGCATTTGAGACAAAAGCTCTCCCTGAGGACAGGAGAGGGGGAAGGAAGAGGCCTGATCAAAGTCATTTAGGCAATGAACCCTGCCAGGGCAAAGGTGGGATGTGATCCCACAGGCCACCCTCACCCTGAGCTGCTTCTGCAATCCCACAAATGGCCTTGGTCTGCACGACCATCACCCAGTGATGGCCAGGGAAAGCTGTCATCCACAGGGAGATAACAGCCAGACCTAAATGGAGGGAACTGGTGAGACCTTTAAACATGCCAGAAAGGAAAAGGCATCTGGGCAGAGTCCCTGTTCTGTTCAACAGCCACTCCAACACAAAGAATGTGTCCTCAGAGCAGTCACTTAAAAACCTTCCTAAAGCTGTGGACAGACAGTTCAACACACTGGAACAGGATGGGGACATATGTTGCCCATGTCTTCCTCCACACAAGGCCTGATTTCTCCTACATCCAGCTTTAGTGCTCTGTCACACAGCAGCTCCCCAAGTGCAGCAGCCCTTTGCAATCATCACCTCCCCCACTGCATGACACATGTGCCACACAGAGTGTCCCAGGCCAATTCCCAGCAATGGAAATGTTCCTCAGATGCTGCCATGGACACCACACTCTGGGCATGGCAGTCACCAGGACAGGCATGCTGTCCCAGGGCCTGGCCAACACATCCATCACCTTCAGCACACACAGATGGCAGCCTTTCTGCACATCATTTACAGAGTAGGGAGAATATTCTTGCATCCTCCTGTCACAAACGAAGCATCCTCACCAGTGCCCAGGGGCAGTTCCTATACATTGGTGTGGAAGTTTTGAAGTTAATGGGCAAATGAGAGATCAAAACAAGCAGTTATTCCATGGAGCAGGCACAGGGCACAAAGCAAGAGGGACAAAGCTGCTGACTTCCTGCCTGTAAATCACACTGTGTACCTCACTATCTGAGGGAAAAATCTTCAATGCCGAGACAATCAGAAGGCAGAAAAAGCCTCTGTGGTGAACTGCAGGATTCCAAAGTCCTGTGATGTTTTGCAGTGAGGGTGTCAGGAATGAGTTGAGCACAGTCTTACCTGGATCTGTCCTTTGCCCATGATACGATCTGTGCTCTCTCCATCCTCTTTGGTCAGCTTAGTTTTGTTGTAGCACTTTTCATAGCACAGAATCCTCAGTGTCTGTGAGCCCTCCAGCTCAATCTCAAACTCCTGCAGGGCACCAGGAAAGGAAAGAGCAATGGCTGCATCACAACAGGACACCACTCTCAGAATAATCAATACAGCCTCTTTAATACTCATCAGAACACCACCTAAGGACTGGCCAAAACCTCCTCCCTAGTGGAACTCGTCTAGAAATATGCTGAAATTGTATTTTGTATCTATAAGGTGGTCAAATTGGAGACTAAGATGGTTCACTCCTTAGTCAGATTTCACAGGTCTCAGCAAAGCATTATTCAAAGACACAAATTTTCTCACCTTCCATGTAAGAAATTTTGCTCACCAGCAGGTCTGAGTTGGCTGTAAACAGGCAAAATGTCTATAGCTAATTCTTGCCCCTCTCAACAAATAAACAAAACCATCTTCAACATATTTTTACTTGTGTCTTAAAAAAATTATCAAGCATGCATCTGTTTAAAAGATTAAATACTGGACAAGACCCATTTGTATCAAATTGTTTAATGATTACTAATCCAAAAGAAAATCTTCTGCAAGCCCTGACAGCCAAATGAACCTGGCAGAAGAGTGTTTTCTGAGAAGCAGCATCTGCAGCACAAGTGCTGAGCATGCAGCAGCCTCTTCCACTGGCAGGTTTTCTGCCCATCATGCATTGATATTTGGCACATGGAACAAGGCACATCAAGAAAAATCAAACCTACCTCGTTCCAGTTGGGCTCCGTGGTGTCTCTGTAAACTCTAGTTTTGGCCTTGTTCACAAAATACCCAAAAGAATCCACCTCTAACGTGCAGTACAGATCTGAGGAGGGGAGACAGGGGAGACAAAAACTTCAAAAAAATATCTAGAATCTCCTAACTTGCATTAATCAGTTGCACAAGGTGCCTTCATTTCCATCATCTCTGCATTAGTACCAGTAACACCATCCCATACAAATCTCGTCACCTTCATCGGCCCCACTGTCCTGAAGAAGCTCTGTCACCTTTTTTGATCCTTCTGTCAAGTCATTCCCCTGAATTTTAACACCACTTTCTTCCCAACAAAAATTCTGGATACCAGAGAACACCTTTTATTCTTTCATTGTGAAACAAAATACAGCTGAAAGAATTCAGGATGCTGTTTCCAGAACAGCTGGGTAATCAGCAAACACTGCTTAAAACCTCAACCAGACTAGGCCTAACAATAAATGCTGTGTGCTCAATCCTTGATGCTGATCTTTTTGGGAGTTAAGAGTAGAACTTCCAGTTCCCCAAAACCCCTCTCCTCCTCACCATCACCACAGAATCTGCAATCCATGCCCAGCTGTCCCAGCACATGGCTTATCACCCCCTATTAGTGCCTCCTGTGTGTCCCAGAACTCACTTGAGCTTTGCTTGAATCCCGTGGCAGAGTGGACAATGACATTCAGGAATCCATAGAGACCTGGGGATTCATCATCTGTACAAAAGACCCAAGGGATTTTGTTACATTCACAGTGGAGCCAAGAGTGAGAGTGATGAGACTGATACTACGCAGGTTAAAGAGCAGAGGGTGAACTGTCCCCAAGGATGGCAGGAGCAAGTAACAGCCACATCAGCAAGACAGGAGACAGTTCCACAGTTGGCACCTGTGATACCTTCTGGCACTGGGGGAATTTTACACTGAGCGTTCATCAGCAAGACAGCATGGAAGAAATTCAAAGGAGAAAAAGTAAATTACAGAGGCTAAGTCTACACTAGCAGATTAAGTAGTAATTTAGGATGATCTCTGACACAATTTTGGCCAACTAGTCTTGTTCCAAAGAATTCTCAGACATAGCTCAAAGCTGTCCCAGGCTAGGACTCCACCAGGCACTCCAATACCTTGCACAACAGGACCATTTAATAGTTGATTAATGTGTACTGGAGGATGCCTGCAACCTGTAGCAAAAGGGAACAGTAAGAACAGTTCTAGGGGAAAGCACAAAATCAGGCAGGGAGAGTGTTTCACTGCAGCTGCACCATGTGAAAGCAAAACCCAAAGGTCTTACCTTCCTTATTGATGGTGAGGGGAATGTTGTGCACTGTCTGAAGCTTCACACAGGAGTTTGTCAGCATCTGGAGCTCCACCGATGTGAGTGAGAAGCTTTTAAAGCCTGCCAAGGAGATTGAAAGAGGGAGGAGTAAAAATTCCAAGGAGAGGCTGGATGCATGACCCCTCATCCTGGGCACACACAGGACAGTGCTCCCTGGGCTCCTCATCCTGGGCACACACAGGACAGTGCTCCTGGGCACACACAGGACCAGTGCTCCTGGGCACACACAGGACAGTGCTCCTGGGCACTGCTCAGCAGCAGCACCGAGCTGCTCAGGGCAGTACTGCTGCTGCTGCAGCCCAGCTCTGCTGGGGGCATTTTCAGTTATTCTTCCAAGTGTCAGGATGGCTCACCAGAATTAGAGGGGTTCTTAGTTCCTGGCAAAGCTAAAAACACCATGCCATAAACGTAACTAAGTTTCTTTTGAATGGAGCCAGGGAAAAGGGTACGGCTCTTCCCTCTCCCTGGAACTGCACTGAGCTCGGATCTCCAGGGTAAATGGGAGAATCTCTACACACATGTACTTACTAACTGCTCTCTCTACACATTCCTCACATGTTGCTGCAGCAGAAATTCCCCAAATAGCCTTGGACAGGAGACATCCATATTGTGCTGTGGATTTCAATGCAGATCTCTGTTTTGGCAGGGAAGCCTGTCCCACACCGTCCTCTGGAGCCCTGCTCTCTTCAGATCACAGTATTTGTACCAATGACAGCTGAGGGATACTCACATTTCTTCTGCTGTTCCCGGATATTCTCCCTCCACTCTGCCCTTTCATAGTCCGATGAAATGAGGAATGTGTAACTCTACCCAGGAACACAGAAGGAAATGGGCTATGCATTAGTCTGATGCAGCACTGAGGGCAGGGCCTGCCTGCTCCCACCCTCCCCCAGTGCAAATTGCTGTTCTGCTGGCACTCCTGCCACTTATCCTGCATCACATCTCTGTCAAGACAGGCTGGGCTCTGGCAACGTGCCCACAGTACCAACATGGACAGTCAGGGCTCACAGAGTCCCACCCTGCCAAGGGCAGCTGTGGCCCTGCAGCAGCTCCCATGGCAGCTTGTGCTACTCCTCACAGTAGGAATTCAGCTGCACCAGGAATGCCAAAAGCCTCCAGCACAGGCCTAGGCACTGATGAAGCAGTGACATGCTGGTCTGGTGCTGAGGCAGGGGATTCACTTCTGTGGTTATTTCTTAAATGCCAGTCTTGACTGCAAATTAGCCACACACTTCTAGGATGCCATCATAACTTTGGCACAGCAAGGGTGAGGTGTCTGCAGCTTGGAAAGTGCTCTGAGGACACACAGCAGAGGCCACAAAGCCTTGCTGTGCAGGAGCACGAGCAGTCTGAGCCACAAGCCCCCAGGAGCCCTGAGGGTGACGCGTGCTCTCACCTTGCCGTTGCGGTTGTGTACCCGGAAGGCCATGTTGGGAGACATCAGCAGTAGCAGGGATTCCTGCTCCGACAGCTTCTTCTTCAACCTCTCAATGACCTTGCTGCCTTTATTGGCTCTCTGAAGGGTGTGGGAGAGAGGGAGCAGAGGACGTGTGTTATTCTTCAAATCTGCCCTCATTTACACAAACTGCTCTTTTGAAATCCACAGTTTCTACCCTGTGAGTAGGCAAATGGCCCCAGAGCAGAAGAAATGCTGTCAATAGGATCCACAGGACTCCCAGCTGCTCAGAAGGGTGTTATTTGCACAATCCCTACACATGGACAGGGCTCTGTTCCCTGATTCCAGCTGTCCCAGCTGAAGTGCAGAGGTGTGTGGCCACTGTCCCAGCTGTACCCTGTATTTTCTGTTCCAGAGGCTGCAGTAGCATCATGTCACTGGGCAGTTACAGCACTGCCAGGTCCTCCAAGTGTCCTTAACTAAGGAGACTCTAAGGAACCACCCAGAACTCTCACGCTCACCGCCCGCTGACCCATTTTCATCAGAAGTCTGCTGAAAATACGGTTTTTCCTGGACAAAATCCAGTACCAAACCCAGCCATGTGCATTGTTTAGCACTGATGCACCAAAGCACGAATCTTAGACACCTGCAGCTGGTGAGTAAACAGCTCCCACAGGTCTTCCTAATATCTTACTTTTTCCAGGAAGCCCTCTTTGAAAGCCAGCCAGGGCTGAGAGGCAGAAGCATGTTCTTTGGAAATGTGGAGAATAACCTTCCCACAGCATGCTCAATGTTATTCATATCCTGCCCTATACACCACCAGTGTTCAAACTCTTATTTCTCTTTTAGGCTCCAGGAAGGTTTGGGATCTAACAGCTCTCAGAAAACACATCTGAGAATGATATGCTTCTCTGAAAAAAGGAAAGCCTGGGCCAGAGACACCACGTCCATGTCTGACAGCATAATTGCTGTTTCTTTACATTTGCTGCTGCTTTGACATTAGTGAAGTAGGAAAAAGCTTCAAAGGCATAACTGAGCCTGCTAAAATTCAAGACTATATGGCTTCTGACCAAAATCACTGGCAGAATCATAATTTAACAGCCAGAAACTGGCAAATAATGCTTCCAGTCCTTTTCATGTCTGCAGCATAAGATCCTTCCCCTGCACATGGATGCTCATAGGAACAGAGGAGCTGCTGGGTACAACCACAGGGTCTTTTTGTCTCTGCCTCCCCACAGGGCAGCATCAGCCAGGCTGTGCACTGGGATGAGCAAAGCCCCTGCTGAACAGTGCTGCAGCCTGGCTCCCCACACTGTGCAGCCCTGGGAGAGCTGCCAGCAGCACCTCATCTGAGCACAGACCCTGTGTCTGCATTGCCCTGGAGTGCTCAGCTCCTTTACCTTTTCCCGCTGGATGTCGTTCTTGATCTGGGAGATCTTGAT